TTTCGGCCAATGGCGCCTCCTCATTTGTCTCCTATACTTCCCAATGAATGGCCAAACTCTTTACATATACGGCTCTGATCATCGTGATTTTCTGTCTTGCTTCGCCGCAGTGCACCTTCGTGCTAAGGTGAAACCACTCTTCCAGAGTGAGGCGCGACACAATTCCTGAATAAAACTTCGGCTCGTATATATGATAGATTGCGATATCCTGGCAGTGCGTTTTTCCAGTTCGAGATTTAGCAAGGATACTTCGCTTTTGCAAGAGCATTTATGTGCACTCTTTTGTATGTTTATTTATTTGTGCCAACTCATTTGTTTAGCTATCACTTGTCTAGAGATGTTAGTAAATTAGAACTAAATTGGCAGCTGCAGTGGATGGAATCTCGGGAAGGGTTCTGCGGGATTGCTTTTAACCTTCGTTAACATGCCATTTCTGATATAAAGTTCTATGCATAAAACGTAATTGATGTTCACAATCAAAAGACAAGTGATGTGCTTTTTTATCTGAATTATAAATTGCAGTGTTATTACAACCTCCAGATCTTGAAGAAAACATTAATATATCTCAGGGTTTACAAGATGTCGATTAATTACCAGCTCGCCTGCACTTTATCACTGGTTACAATATATGTGCTCAATATTGTCCTATTTCAGTGGGATTCAGTACCTAAAATAACAATTCAGAGCAGTTCACGCTCCCCTTCATCAGTCACCTTCTTGTGACCCTGTCTGGTGCTTTTTCACTAATCTAAACACTAGTTTTTGTATTTGAGGGACTCACTCCTGTTGTGCAATTGATGCTAACACAGGGTTGCACCTATATGCAAAGGCAATGTAGATATTACCTTTTAGTTGGACACGCCGACATATTAATCTTGACATAATGTTTGCATTGGTATGAATAAAAATGATGCTATAAAAGTTATTTTTGCTGCTCCAAAATTGACTTTGGGCTGCTCCAAGAGTTGGTCCAAAATCACTCAGACCAACCACATCACTGCTAATGGGTTCCAGCCTTACAGTTATCTCAGGTTTTGTATTGTGCAAGTCCTAACTCTTTTGACAGTCAGTATTTTTACCGTACTGGCAATGCGAAACGGAACAGGTTGTTTTGAGACACCTTCAAACTCTTAAAGGGTAACTGCAAAAAAAAAAAGTTTTTTTTTTTAAACAGCCTAATTGGGACAAGCATGTCTCAAAACAAATGTTCCGCGAAAAAAATGATTTTTTTATCAATATTTACGCCACAGGACGTAATTTAGTAGAGTCAGAACCTCTCCACATTTTAAACTCCCGCTCTTTCGACCCCCGCGGAAGAGGAGTACGCCCCGCCTCTCACTCTCCTTGCGTTCCGGAGTTGAACGACGCAGCGTCTCGACTTCCGGCAAGATCTGGCAACTACGCGACTACGCCAGACGCCAGACCGCGGTATTGTTTTGGTTTGACGTGGTTTGCGAGCACATGTAGCGAAGACGTGACCGGAGAAGTGCCCCTGTGATGTTCCCGGAAGACGGAAAGTATCGTTCGTAATCGTCGTGCGTACTTTGAAAGCGAAGGGAGTCACAGAATCCACGAGTGCGCAACCACAAGCCAAGGTTCACGACAGCGCTGCGTTGGTTTCGGCGATCTCGTTTTGTTTGGTGCAACACGGCGATGCGACAGAGCTGAAACGTTTGTGGTGTGTGTAATGCGGTGCTGTGTGTTATGCGGGGTTGACGTACAACGGGTCCGGTCACGTCGTCGTCAGCTGATCCAGTAAAACTGGCCCGGGAGGACGCAGCGAGCGTTTTTAAAAGTAAATCTTCCTTCGTTCTGTTTCAAAATGTGGAAGATTCCGGACGCATACCGTGAGTAAAAAGCTGCGGGCGTTTTCAAATAAATTACGTCGTTTTAATTGAACAATGGACTTCGAATTGTTCTCCTAAATCTGCCGTGTTTATGCTTCGTGTTGTTGGACTGCGTTTGCACAGCGACGTGTTGCGCTCGTCGTGCGGTGTGAATAAATTTGGGCAAGATTTCGCAGCTGTCTACAGATGCATGAACTGAGACCACTTTTTACGTAGTGAACATGGTGCTTTTTTATTTTGTGTGTCTAGTTGTGGACGTTAGGTGCGCCCGGTGCGAATCTCGATGGCCTCCGGAGCGATATGATGAGAACGTAACTGGACACGTTTGTCGCTACGTGAACGCCCGATTGCCTCCAGCCAAATAGCATTACTTTCAGGGCGACATGGCTGCTGGAAGGCTCACTGTCGGGATCATGCATCTGACATCTCCGAAGAGGCAGCATTTGCACGCGCAAACAAGCAAAACAAACACACAAAAAAAAGCACGCTAAGCAAGCAAAGAGGAAAACGAAAGAACCGCGCTATGAAAGCGAAAACCTCGCGTCGCTTCCTATCACTAACACCTGCGACAGCTGCTAAACAGACACTACTTCACTTCAAGAAGTCTCACTCAAGCGCCTGGGTCAGCACGAAACCCTGATCACTTCGCCGAAACGATTAGTCGAGGTAGGCGAGACAGGCGGGAACAGAGACTTCGGCGGCCATGAAAGAATGGCGAAGCTTTTGTTTGTTATGGTATGAATCCAAACGGAAGTGCCCGTCTTGTAAACCTTTTGTAAAGAATAATAACTCTGATCACATGGGTTATTCTTTAAACATAAAAAAATATGCCGCTCAAAAGGAAATTGCAACAAATAACAGGTTTAACAACCAAGATCTGAGCTGTCAATCACACTCTTAGCCAATGAGAGCCGACTGGGAGTAATGTCACAGAATCCCAACTTCGTGGCGCGCAATTTAAAACGGGTGAAATAGCCGCAAACTAAAATCAGTCTCGCGGAATAAATATTGCTGTAAAAAAACTTTTTTTCTCGCGGAAAATTTTTTTTTGACATGCTTGTCCCAATTAGGCTGTTTAAAAAAAATATTTTTTTTCTTTGCAGTTACTTTTTAAAGGGGCCCTGCAAGGACTTTTATACTGGTTTTTAATTTGCACCGATCCTGAGCGCACTGAACGTAGTAACTTAGTGAGACCTTTCTTTTCTCAAGATTCCATTTATTTCTTTTCTTTTCTCAAGATTCCAAAATTACAAAAACAAACAAAAAATAACCTACCTCATGACGTCCTTGGTTGCTTGAGAGTGACCGTGAACTAGAGGAGGGCTAGTGAGCTTATCGAGCGCTCATGGCAGCCGCACTCCGTGTCGACGGCGCGAGAGGGCGCCACTAAAGCATGTTCTGGAAAGGCTGAATGCAGCGGGCAGCCAGAGCGGCTCTCATTGCATTTGCTGCGCGATTAAACACTAATTCGGCATGACACTTCATTGGCCACAAACGACAGCAAACACGGGTAAAGATCAGTTCAGAATGGGAGCCACTTTGCGCTGCCATACCGCGAAACAGCCAAACCGCAAGACAAGGGTTCTCGCCGAAAGCCTTCGGAACACTCGGAGCCGGTCGGATCCTCCTGTCCATACGACCTCAGCGGCGCCGCGTACATCCAGGACCTTTCCGTGTCGGCGCCTGATCCCACTACTCCTTTCTAGTATGCGCCACCTTTTCCGCCGCTTGGTAGCGGGTATGTCGACGGGTCATTTCTTGTTTCCGTACTTTATGAACTACGTTAGTTTCTTTTCTGATCTAAAATACTGAACAAAAACTACTTTTATAAATAACTGAAACGCTTAGCGTCACTTGTGTTTTATATTTCGACTAAAAAGAAGTTTTTAGCGGCTCTCACCAGTAGTAAGCCCAGGACCGAAGACGTCACATTTTGCGCGCTTTCGGTACCATGGGTCGCCCTCTTCGGTGGAGAAGGTTTCCGCGTCGTCCGTTTAAAATATGACGCACTGATATTTAGTTACTCTCTCCGTGCCCCCTCGCTCGCCCGAACTCCAAGAGACGTGGAAACTGCAAAAAAGGTAGATGCTTAAATATAATTGCAGGGCCCCTTTAAGTGAGGTGGTAACGGCTGGCACCTATTGCTAGGCACGGAGGCATTTCCTTTCCTCGTCCATTCATCATAGTTATTCCTTGGTGTCTCTTGTGTATTACTCTCGTAGGTGTCTGACTAGCTTGTGTGGGGGACAGTGAGGGCGTCTAGAAAACAGGCGGCCATACTCCAGAGCAGCGTGTCTTGTACAGCTGTCCACAGACTCCTTGGAGTCTGTGCTGATTTTGCGATCCTCTACCTGGAGAGCAAAAGGCCCAGATGAAGATGTGCAGAGTGATTAGGTTTTTTCTTTAGGGGAGGGAGGCAAGCAGTGAAATTGAATTTGAGGAGAGGTTAATGTCAGTAACACACCGACTTTGGGCAAGCTAAATGTTGGGCTTCTATACATGGAGGGTGTTGAAAAACCAGACGGGAAGTGGGCTGTTTACCAAGTACTGTATTTGCACGAATATAATGCGAGTTTTTTTTTTTAAATTACTTGCTCCAAAATGCACCTCGCGTTATATTCGGAGTCGTTCAGCCACGAGGCGCGCGAGTCTGGAGAAAGCCAGTGGAGAAAGCCATCCCTCCGGCTCAATATAGAAGATCCGGTGGGAAAAGGAGTGGGGATGTGGAAGGGAGTTCATTAGCTATTGGGTCACGTAAAGGGGGGAATAAAAATATTAAAAAGCGTTTTTATCGCTTTTGTGTTTGTACAACGCACGCACGCCGCAGAAACTCAGCGCACGCGTGCGCCATGCGGGAATGCGGGCACTGGCCAATTCGAGCCAAGCCAAGCCGGGCCAAGTCAAGTCAACACAAGCCAAGCTAAGACTGGCCAAGACCACCAACCGCGTTTACGCAATCGTGCATCACGAGGCATTTGTTTATGCAGAGGGACCAGAACAAGAAGTGTGATCGTGTATCGGATTCAGCAGTCTTTTTTTCTGCCAGCGCATTGTTTAGTTTCTGCTCCAGAGTGATCTGGTGTTTGTGTGTTGGTGCTTCTGCTTTGTGCATTGTTTGGATTGTGGGCTGCCGAGGAGGCTCGCAGGGAAGAAAAAGGATCTACCAGACAAGCAGGTGCCGTGCTGCTGCTTATCTACGTAGTCGCCAAGTGGATTGTAAACGGAAGCACCTGAGCAGTGAGGATGAGTGCAGTTAAAACATAAACTGACATTTCTTCTATTTCCATTGACCTTTCACATCTGCTATGCCCCCGAGTGCAAAAACCGACGCGGCCTCGGTTCGCGTTATAATAGCAATAACATTTTTTTTTCTTTTTGAGGGCATCAAAACCTGCCCTCGCGTTATATTCATGGTCGCGTTATATTCCTGCAAATACGGTACTTAGCTAATGCCAGAAAAGAATGAAGAGGACAGAGTCAGTTAAGGGGGGACACTACCCAAAAAAGTGAATGTTTGAACCACTTGTCTGATTTAAATGACATTTACAGGGCTTGTTTCTGTTGATGTTGACAACATTTGTGCCAAATTTTGCTCACCTGGGTGAAGTACAAAAAAAATTGCAAATGTTCAGACAAAAGTGGGCGTGTCTGCGTAGGAAAACTATTGTTTTGAAATTGCTTTTAGATTTGTCATTTTCATGTGTTATATTGCTTTAGGACAGTTCAGGGCAGATAACTATGGAGCTATATTTCTTTATTATACCATCTTTCATGACAAGAAAGCCACATAAACACTAATACTCGTTTGTAGATTTCCAACCTTTGTCCAAAGTTTTAGTTCTAGAGCTTGAAAAATGACAAATATAAAAAATACAAGCTCATCCCCTAAAAATTTCAAGCCAGAAAAACTCATAAAAATTAATCCAAGTTACGTAATAACAAAAGGATAGTTTTCCTAAAGGGTAATTTATGCCAGAAAGTGGAGTCGATAAAAATGCGTTCAAAGTGCTCCAGCCTGTACCTTTTGTTTAACATCAGTGGACAGAAACTAATTTATAAAAAGTTAACTATGCAGTGTAAACTAATAAAAGTTTCTGGGAATACTCTCTAGATGTTGCTGAATGTAAATATAACATTTTTCAAAATCAACTTTTTTTTTTGCAGAAATTTTTTCTGGGTAGTGTCCCCCCTTAAGACGTCAGTGAAGCAAGCTGAAAGAGATATGACACAGTTGAGATTGGAAAAGAAGCCTTGTACGCAGAAACATTTGGAATAAGAAAACAAGTTTTTTGACAACTCAAAAATAAGTTTGCCCTCTGCGCGGCAAAGACGGGTACTGAGAGCCGGGACTTGGAGATCAAGATCTGAGGAGACAGATACGAATTGTACACTATAGGGACAGGCGAAGGTAGCAGTGGTGCATTCTGGGTAAGATAAGTCTTTTACATACCCAAACTGAGACAGACTTTGTCGTTGCTTTGGAATTGGAGGGGTTAATGAAGGAATAAGTGGTTTCCAAAAGGTTAAGCGAACTAAGATTGCTGGAGAAATGGTGAAAACGGCTTAGGAAGGTGACAAAAAATAAATTAAACAAGAACAAAATTTAGTTAGGATTTAGGTAGAATGGCGCAAGGGTTTGCTCGAGTCGAAGTCCTCTGTCCCAGTTTATCTATGCACCCAGGATAAGAAAAGATTGTTAAGCCGAGAATCTTTTCATTTAAATTTTGTGCAATGCTGTCTTGCTGGTTTTTAATAGCCCGTCTTCCATTTCCAGCTGGTTTCCTCTGAAACTGGAGAAAACTGGGTGGCACTGGTTAACTGGTAATGGTAACCATTACCCAAAGAGCCACTGTCGTCATGGGCTGATGACCATTATGTTGGAAAAGGCAGAGCTTGCAACCTTTGTCGAGCATTAATGGCATTCATGGTTCTCATTCATGGGAAGGGGGGGCCGCCGATGACAAAATGTGGTATGATGGGGAGGGGGGAGAGGAGGTCCCAGCAAAATGGAAGATTTCGGGGGGGCGGGCCCCTTGAGCCCCCCCTGGCTATGTGCCTGCGCTGAGTATAGCTGCAACGATTGGGTCTCATAAATATTGGGCACTCGACTATTGAAGTATATGTCACTACATTTTAAACTGCATGCTTGCTGGTGCCTTGAAAAGGGTTTAACAGCACTCGAAACGTTTGCAAGGACAAATTGTTGACAGCTGGCAAACCTAATTTAACAGCGGACATTGCGTTCACACTCACCGTAGCTGACAATGTTACTCCGAAGGTTACGCATTTGTTTACTTTCCAAGTTCAAGACCTGCCTTTTTTGTGTGTTTGCAGCTTGCGTTGAGCTTGGCAAGAAATATTTTTCATCCACTGGTTCTGAACTCGGTTATAAGAGTGGGGGGGGTCGGTGACCAGACGTGTTAACGCACCACGGCTCGGATAATGTGGATGAAAGCTCGTGCTGCAGAACCCAGGGATCTGGGGTTCAATACCCGTCTCTGCGAGTTTCTATCTGGGTGAGCGTCGTACCGGCATGTGGTCGTGTGTCTAGCTGTCATACTAGAGTGGCAGAAATTCTGATTTACGGTGGAGACGACAGACACCGATTGGCGCGTACTAACCTCCTTCTCACTAAACGTTCAACACGATTACAGTTACGGGAACCTTGTGGGAATCGGCTTGGCTTCACTGAGACGGCGTTTGGCAGGTGTCTTTGGAGCCTGACCCCTTCCAACACTTCCTATGGAACCGAATCAGTCTTCAAGTCACGGTAAGTTTATAGTTTCCACCTTTTTAATAAACGTTTTCGATGGCTTGGCTATGGCCGGTCGTAGTCTAGAGCAGCTCTTGTACAGCTGATCCCAAACTGCTAGAGTCCGTGCGAATTCTGAGATCCTCCGCCAGAGAGGCGTCCTCAGTAGGGTCGAAGTAGAGTTCCTTTATAGGTAGCCATAGTTGTGCGTCTGTATTTCATGTCCCTCTGCGCTGCTATTTGCCGAGATCAATCATGCGAGGAGCAAAGAATCCTGCACAATGCAGGAAAGTCTGTTCGCCAAAGTTTCACGCATGTGCGCCGGCGTATATTACCCTGCTTAGGCCTTCTCCTCCTCCTTCACTGTTTTCCAAGCACGGCGATGTGTGCAGCACCTCTATTCGCCGAATTCAGTCATGTGACCAGTTGCAATCAATGGAGCACAGCTGCTACACGCGCGAGAAGTGGCTCTACCGCACCACTTAGGGTTTCAAGATGGCTGAACGCGCAACTCTGGCTCCTGTAGGGATACTATAGAGAAAGTTCAAATCCCAGAAAAAGGTGTGCATGGTGAAAAGGATTGGGCTTATAGAAGACAAGAGCAGCAAACCACGAATTTTAGAGGAGGTTCATGGCAGTGGTGAGTGAATGTTGGGCAAGTTAAGTATTAAGTTCCTATACTTTGTATTTCAGGCACTTCTGGCCACCTTGACAGGGTTCAAAAATCCTTTCCAATTTGTGTATTTGTTGCATGCTTTTTAGAGGCAACATTTTGGCAAAGTTTTGTGTTTTGTAATTCAATCGGTGTTTTATGGTGTTCTGCGTGCCCGGTGATTAGGAAGATTCCATAGTGATGTGTGGTTGACTGCAGGGCTTTGATTCGAAGATCTCCACGAAATAAAGGACTTCGCAGGCCTTGGCCATCGAGCGTAGCACTGGGCTCAGTTGTGGCCAGTCGCTTCGAATATGCGTCGAGTTCACGCAAGCACTAGGAATCCTCACTTTTTTTACATATATCTAGGTTGCACACACCTGACTTTTCCAGTGAGTAGAGAGACTGCCATGTAAAGATTCATTGAAAGAATAATTTATGTCTGCCACTTCCAAACGTTCAGACAATAAAAAAATACAAATAAATATACATCTTAGTTTGGGGCATATGCTGCCTTAGGTGCCTTACATTAAAAGTTGTTGACTATTTTTAAACATAATATACAATAATATATATATTTTTGTTAACACAAAATGTTTTTACTCACAAGAGATTTCGGGTGCTTGCATGTTTGTGACCAGGCAGCTTATGTGACGGTCTTGAACAAACACCACCTAAGAAACCGAGACACTTGCAGAAAAAAAAATGAGTAAACTTTGGGAATGTACCTGGAGAGAACTCAGGATTGGGATCTTTCAGCGAAGAACTGAACCTGGAAATTCACAAGGCGGCACTTTGCCTGAGGTAACCTGAGAGCCGCAAGAGCTTTCTCTTTTATGGCTTGCAATAAAGTGTCTCTACATGAAGCAAGAAATGAGAAATAGCATAAAACTATTGGTACTGTTGTATCTTCGAAGACATTTATTCTTCTGCCCGCACTGCGCCATTGCTCGTGCCGATTCAACTCAAGGTGCCATGTGCACAAGGTTATGCACGGCCACCGCCCCCGCGCCATACAAATAGTAGTCGAATCTCCTTATTCTGAATGTGATAGCTAGGCCTTCTTTTTCTGACTGAGAATAATTTTTCTCATGCTCACTCAGGGTCGTGGAAACAAAAACTACTGGCCGCTCTGCTCCATCTTCAAACACATGGGACAGGACTGCACTTACTCCATACATGTGCCGATGCACCGCATGCGAGTATAATGGGTGGACGTGGGTCAAAATAGGACTGGTGCTGACGTCACAAGTTTCTTCAGAGAGTCAAAGGAGTCCTGACAGTCTGTGCTCCATTCCCATGCTGCATCCTTCTGCAGTAGACAATTCAGAGAATACAGGGTATAGTTGCCAAGTTTGGTAGAAATTTGCCATAGTAGTTACCAAGCCCAAGGAATGAACTCAACTCTGCCTTGTTGCTTGGAGTGGGTGCATCTCGAAGTGCTGCTACCTTTTCCTCCATGGTTCGTAGACCATCCTGACTGATCACACGACCAAGGTATGTAACTTCTGTTTGGAAGAATTTGCACTTTTCTTTCTGAAAATGCATTCCTTTTCCTTGTAATCATGTTAAAACCGCTTTTAAGTTTCCAAGATGCTCACCCTTCATTCTGCCTGTCACCAGGATGTCGTCCAGGTAGCAGGTGGTCTGTGGCAACCCTTGGAGCACTTGATTTATCATACTTTGAAAGAGGGAGGGTGCAGACGCTATGCTGAAGGGAAAACCGTTCACTTGGAAGAGCCCCAACTGGGTGTTGATGGTGAGGTACTTCCATGCTGCAGGATGCATTTCCATCTGTAGGTAGGCTTTTGAGAGGTCCAGTTTTGAGAAAAACTTCCCTTTTGCCAACGTTGCAAATATCTCTTCCATCCTGGGGAGTGGATAGTTGTTGACCTCCAAGCACGGGCCGATTGTCAGCTTGTAGTCGCCGCGGATTCTTATGACTCCCTTTTTTTTGACAACCGGCACGATGGACGACGCATACTCACTGCTATCCACCAGGGTTAGAATCCCTGCATTTCAAAGCCATCAGTTCTTTAGAGACAGCTGCCTTCAGGGCGTGGGGCACTGGTCCTGGGTTGAGGAACTTTAGAGTGTACCCACTCGTTAGCTTGAGGTGAGCTTCAAACCCCCTGAGACGGCCCAGATCATCTGAGAACACCTGAGCAAAGTCTTCCAAAAGACCGACTACTTGTTCACTGTTTCCCTTCTCCAAGCACTGGACAGCTTCGACACTAGACCAGTCGAGCCTCTGCACTTCCAGCTAATCATGTCCCAAAAGTGGGGGACCCTTGAAGTCCACAATCTGCAGTGGCAACTTGTGAACTTGGTCTTGGTACTCCACTTGTACCTGTGACTCACCTACCAGCTTTACCTTGTTGCCCATAAATGCTCAAAGAACAACTCCGCTTCCCTTGACCAGGTTAGGGAACCTTTTCTTGTACAGGTCTGGTGGGAGTAAAGACACTGCGCCCCCCCTGTTTATTTCCATCGTCAGGGGAATCGTGTTCACTTTCACTGTTAGTTCCAGCGGCCTCAAACGTGTCCCCTGAAGCTCGAACATGTCGACCTCGTCTTCAGTGTCGGCGTTTAGCGTCTTGACTTTTCCCCTTGACTTCTCCGGCTTCGTGTAGGTGCTCCGCGGTGCTGAGAAGCTGCTGGTCCGGACTGCTGGCTCTTGCACGCTCGATTAGGGTGTCTGCGTCTTCCGCACTTGTGACAACCTAAGCCTTTCTGCCTGCAGTCAGTTGCTGTGTGATTCCTAAGTTCGCAGTGCTTGCATTCGGGCTTGTCCCGCTTCAGCTTGAGCACTTTGGCGTCCGCACTCTGGCCATGTAAAACATGTACGTCTGCCGAGGCGGCTTCCGTTGCCACTGCTACTTCTAGCACCTTCTTAAACGTCATGCCAGCTTCCGACAATAGCCGCTTTTGAACGGGGTGTCCCTGATGATGCCGCACACCTCGCAGTCGCGTAAGGCTTTGTTCAAGGAGCCACCGTAATCACTTGTCTGCGCCAGCTTCTTCAGTTTGGCTACAAACTCGAGGACGCTTTCATTCTCCTTTTGGTTTCTTTTGGGCATACGGAAGCGTTCCGCGATGGCGAGTCTTCGGCAACAGGTGCTTTCGCTATACTGATACCAGCTCGATGTATGACTTACTAGTTGGGATGTCCGGAGCCACCAAACTCTTTAACAGGGCGTACATCTTTGCTCCAATGAAGCTTAGGAACGCTGCCACTTGCTTTTCTGGTTTAACATCGTTGGCGATGAAAAACTGGTTGAGTCACTATGTAGGTTCGCCAGTCCGTGCCTGCTTGTTAAACGGCTCAGTTCGGCCAAGGATCGCCATCGCGTCACGGCGTCACCAGCAAGTATGGCGGCGGGCGATCCTTCGACGAGGCCCGCATGGCTGAACACTCGTCACCAGTTGTTGCGAGTTTGAAGACCTGCCGAGTGAACTTAAAGTGCCGTGCTCACAAATTTCTGCACGACCATCGCTCCCGCGCTTGTAGTGTCCTCGGGCACCACAGGTACCGTCCTCTCAATTTTTTTATTCGTGCACATTGTCATGCACGGCGACGTGTGTCTGCGTAGTATGTTCCGGGAGTTTTGCATGATCGGCAGTAAGCTGGACACAAATCTTGTTTCCTTGTCTTATTACCAGTGTTCTAGAATCTTGAACAGCCTTTTCAAGTCTGCATCTGAGACGTCTCCACGTGAATATCATTCTTGACTTTGCCGTGGTAGGCTGCCATTGCAATCATGATATTACCAGTCGTCGAAAAACATGCACTGCTTGCTCTTTGGCGGGCGCAAGCACGCAAGGGTAATTCCAGCAAACCTTCTCGATTCCAGGGTTACGACGGTTTTTAGTGAAGGAAGTGTTCCTGAATTACGAGATGTCAGTTTTTATCAATGCATTCTGCAGTTTTTTACATATCCTCAATTTCCAAGTGAGAGCTAAAAAAAAGGAAATAAACTGTTTCTCTCTACTTGCACCGCCTGATGGTATAACAGGTTTAATCCACTATAATACAGTCATGGGTAAGTTACTTTTAAAAAGTAATTCGTTACAGTTACTTTCAGAAAAAAGTTGCGAAGTTACCGTTACAGTTACTGCAACAAAAGAGTAACTTGTTACAGTTACTTTTAAGAAGTAACGAAAAAAATTTTGGAACAAGTCGATAACGTCCCTCACCAAGTTTTATTCCATAAAATTAGAAAGTAAGTTTTTTACTTCATATTTTCACTTAGCATCATTTGCTTCTCGAAATTAGTGTCTAAAAGCTTCCCTCAATTTTGATGGCGAACGCGTCCCTGCCCTTACTTAACAGACCCCGCGCAACCAGCGCAACAAGCAAACCCCG